CCCGGTAAGGTGCAGTATCTCCTGACACCCCCGACATCCCATACTAAGAACTGCTATGCCAGCCTCAAACCTACGCTACGCACTATGAGGATTGCCAACCCTGAGTCTTGAGTTATGATTTTGAATCTCTTATCCTTATGTTGTATTACTACAGTGTTCTATTGTGTTGATGGTAGAGAGAGCTGAGGATCCTCCGTTCCCTCCTGTATACCTGGAGCCCGTTCCGGCCCCGCAGCAAGGTGCAGTATCTCCTGAACCCCCGACATCCCGTACTAAGGAACTGCTATGCCAGCCTCAACCCCATGCTACGTACTAGGAGGATAGCCAACCCTGAGTCATGTGTGTATTACTGCAGTGTTCTATTGTGTTGATAGTAGAGAGAGCTGGGGATCCTCTTTTCCAATCAATCTCTAAGAACCTGATCCACAGCATTGTAAGACTTTGGTGAGGGACTTACCGGCCACCAAAGCAGTGGCCGTTTGTGACGATCCCACCGGACATATCAATGGAGAAAGGAAAAGGTTGAAATGTGGAGATCAAGCATTCTCTGATGGGGGGGGGAGAGGGGGGGGAGGCTACCGTCGGGGGAAGAGTCGTCATGGAGAGGGGACTACTGTTTGCTGTTGGAAAGACAGTTAACAATTTGCAAGAAAGTGCACTTTTGCCTCGCTGTTTTATAGGTTTTTTATTTATTTTTTCCGTCTTTTTTGTTTTTTGCACAATTAGTTAGTGTGGTCTCCACTCTATCAATTGGTGGCAAGTTTGGTTAAAATGGCCCTTAGGTTTTGTTATAAATGGCATGACAAATTGTCTGAAAATTTACTATTTAGTATTCAGGCCTCCGTTAACCTGCCCTCAGCAGGACGAGCATTGCCCTAACCTTGGCAATTGAAGGAGAGACTCTGGATCCAGCCATAACCAGTGTGTTCTGTCTCTATTCAGCACGGTTTTGAGTGCTGCTTGCTGCAAGCTGCTCAGTGCAACCTGGCGCCCAAGTGGGCATCGCCTTTTCTCGTTTTTATCGAGTACATCGGTGTGATAGCTGTTGTGATTGTTCAATACAAGCTTGGGGTAAACCTTCTACCAGTTGTCATTTTCAAGACTTTGCCTCCGAGTTCAGCGTGTTTTTTGAGTGCGGAGCATCGGAACCGAGTCCGGCAAATTCCAAAAAGGTTTTGCACCAAAAAACGAAAAGCAGAGAAGGCGCCCACTTTTGAGTGAGGGTTTCACTGATTGAAAATGTCCTTTTCTGCTGAGAATCGTGGTTACCAGGGCTCCTAAAAGTGGACGCCTACCGTCTTCCCCCGAACATAACGCACCCTAAAAATGAATGTATACAAGTATTTCTGGCCAGATACAGTCAAAATGATGGTGCATTGTGTTCGGGGGCAGACGGTAGGGCTTACAGCCAGATGTGATCTTCCCACTTGGTTCTCCTTGACGAAGAAGAGTAAAGGCCGGATTAGTCTTGCTGGCCTTTCAGAGTCATACTCACACTAGGCCCTCAAAATAGCAAAATCGCAAAATGAACGCCCACAGCCAGTGCTTGTAACCAGAGGGCTCTATCTGGCCGCTCATTTTGCGAATGTGAGATTTTGAGGGGCTAGTGTGAGTATGCCCTAAGGATGCAGGATCCTGCATCCTTAATATGAGGAGCAAGTTTGCAATGTAGGGGCGCTGGATTAGGGTAGTCTTGCTGGCCTTTCAGAGTGGAAGGCTAAGACTCTAAGAGTATACTCACACTAGGCCCTCAAAAATGACAAAATCACAAAATGAGCAGCCAGATCGAGTCCTCCTTTTACAAGAACTCTATATGACCACTCATTTTGCGATTTTGCAATTTTGAGCGCCTAGTGTGAGTACGCCCTAAGTCATCAATAATACTAAATATAACATACACTGCATTCTTCGGAGGTCAGGCACCACCGGACCAAAATGGCTGGGGGCCTAGGCTACTTGACTCACCCGGCCGTGCAGCACGGGCATGCACCGGGCAAGTCGCCCGGGGATCACCTGCATGGGGCACTCCGGGCAAATCGCCCGGAGGTCACCTGCATGGGGCACCCCGTGCAGGCACGTGCAGGCAAAAATCAGCACTTTCTTTTTTTTCTTTTTTTTTTTGGGGGGGGGGGGGGGTGGAGGTTTTCTGCACATGGCCAGAGAAGCCTAAATCTGGGGTCCTTTCTTCTTTTCAGTGTTGACTGTCAAGGGGGGTGAAGGGGGGTATAAATTGGCTTTTAAGGGGCTAAAGGGGTTGAAAGGGGGGTGCCTTAGTCTGATTCTGTTGTTTTCTTTTTAGCCTCGGTTCCGAGAGGAATTCTGATGTGATCCTCAGCCAAAAGTCGTTTGTATTGCAATTCTACTCACAGCAGTCACAGCATACATTTTTCCCATACTTTTTTTGTTTTTGGTTTTGTTTTTTTTTGCGCTGGGGGTGCCCGGGACCCCGCCCGGGGTTCATGCCTGACTGGGCACCCGGTTATGTATCCGGACACAAGTTGGTTGCCCGGGCGCCCGGACAGACAGCCTAGCTGGCGACGCCAGCCAAAAGGAAGAAAAAAGTCTCACTGGCACTTCAGCAAAGCTTGGTATCCAGTTCTACTCCGCCTCGGCGAAAAAAGGCTTGGACATAGTGGTGGTTTAATGTAGATGCAGGGAAACACAAGGTGCAGTGAGGACCACGGTGCAAACATTGGTTCTCAACTTGAGAATTTCTGATCAGGCTTGGATGATAACTCACTCCAATTCCAAGCTCTCTCTGCTGTTAAACCGCCAGTACTTGGGCGACGCCTTAGCGTTAACGCTACGAGAATTTCGCTACCGGCGGGCCGTCGATAAATCGTATCGACAGCCCGCGCCATTTCAAAAAAGGTGCGGCCGGCGCGGCGCGCAGTGCCCAAGTACTGGTGGTTTAATACAGTCATCCAAATTTGGGACCAAGGGAGTTGTAGAGAAGAAGCTCTCCGATGGACAGGGACTGAACATTGCTCCCATGAATTGCTCTGGCGCTCTGAATGACATCCACCCTACTCTTTTGAGAGCAAGGCTCGTATAGATACCCAAAACACACACACACACGTGCATGCAGGTGTGCACCAGACAGAGCACAAGAAAAGCTGTGCAGTCATGCCACATTGGCCCTGTTTTCCCACTTCCTCAGCCCTTTTTCACCCAGGAACAGGCCCCTGGGTACGACTGAAATTCTCACCTGATACCTGGGTATGACAGTAATTTCTCAGTGGATCGTCACGGCCCAATGGCTGCTGGGTATGAGAATAATTCTGCCAACTGGTAGTCGGGTACAAATAATTTGTGGGTTCCCTCCAACCAAGGGCCCGCAGGACCCAGTACAGGAATAACTCGGCCCAGCGGAAAGTTTGGGGTACAAGGTTAAGTTTGACAGGGTACCAGGTATAAATGCAAGATGGGTACTTGGTCCGGGCATATGGGTCATTGACCGTCATTCCCATCGCCGGGTACAGATCTACAGATGCAATTTCCCTAAGAAAAAGGAAGGGCCACACAGAAGCAACATATACCCTGACATCCATTAAAATTGGAATGATACAGAGAAGGGTAATTAACAAAATGGGCCCTGCGCCAGGATGACATGCATAAATCGAGAAATGGTTCTTTTCTTTTGGGGGAAAAAAAAAGACAATTGAAAAAAAAAAAGAACATATACCCTGCAATCCATGCATTCATATTGCGATCTGGGAATCGTCACAAGGCGACGGCCAGGAGGGAAAGGAATGTATATTACCTATTATTACGTAGTAAGTTCAACGTACCAATTGGCCTAGCTCAGTTGGTATGCCGATGCACTGTTGAAATACAGACGCGAGTTCGAACCCAGATGGAACTAAGGTAGTTGAGTGAATTTCTGAATTACCTGGGGTCGGGCAGCTTACCGATGATATCTCAAGGCCATCGCTTTTTAAAAAAAAAAAGAAGAAAAGGAGAGGAGAAAAAGGAAGAGAGAAAAGAGAGTCCATGCCTGTCGGCAATTGTGGCACAACAAGCTGCCACACTTCAAAGTTAAGCACTTAAGTTTTAATGATTTTTGGATTTCTTATCATGGTCGAACGGACACACATGATCAAGTAGAAAAGTCAAAACAAGAAAAGTCAAAACAAGGCCTTAATGAAAATGGAAGAGGATAGGATAGAATAAGTTGTAGGGTAGGCATGCAAAAAGAGGGACGTGGGTGTACAAGTACTTGAGGGGAGGGGGAGGGGGAGGGGGAGGGGGAAGGGGGGGTTGGGAAGGGAGACAAAGTTGAAATGAAAAAGCCAGGATACTATACACAGACTGTAAGGAACCAAGGGAGATCGTGGGTATTAGGGGCATAGCCCAAGGTAGGGAATGGGCACATAATGCGAGGGCAAGCATGAGGCATATGATATACTGTAGTTTGTTGTACTAAAGTAGGCAAGAGGCAAAGTATCTGGATGCCAAGCAAACAATAAGGAATCAGTGAGATAGTATCATAGAGTAGATGGTAAGGGTAACGACCGAGGAATCGATATTCAGTTAGAATTTGGACATTGACCAGCCGGTGAGGCTGCCGGGCGGCCATCCCCCACGCCCCGCCATTTACAGGATCCACATACTGTGTGTCTGGGCGCTGCCAGTAAGCTTCCCGGCCAGCAAGTGCACCCTGCAAATGAGTCATGGTTCGGGGGGAGAGTGACTGAAGCATCCCCCCCCCCCCCTCCCTTGTGTAAGCGACTAGAGCTGCAAGGGTGGCTGTATCTGATTCTCGTCTGATCTGCTCTATCTTTTCCTCTTCAAGTGCTTCTTGTGTTCTTTTGGCTTGCCGGGGATGAGCAATCGGACTGATGCCCCCCAGAATAGATGGGGCTTTGTTTGGGGTGGGGTGGGGGGAAATAATAATAATAATAATAATAATAATAATAATAATAATAATAATGCTGTAAAATTGTAAATACTAAAAAGACCAGTACACTCTTTTTTTTTTTTTTTTTTTGAACACGCACCTGGTCTTCAACTTCATTCATGAGCTCAAAGAAACGCAGCCCTGATGGGATAGAGGCACACAGACATCACATGCATTCATTATCAGCAATAATAAACACACACCAGATACAGTTTTACAACTTTTACTATATTTCAGTCATTTTTTTTCTTCTTCTTCTTTTTTTTAGTTACTCCTAGTAGCTTCTAAAGACCAACCTCATCTTCACTGTATTCCCCCCCCACCACCACCACCCAAAAAAAAAAACAGAGTCAAAGCCATACTTGCATGTGGACGGACCGGACGAGCATCCGGTCCGGTCCGCTTTGCTGCGTGCGGCACCCTCCCCCCGGACCGGACCGGCCGTTTTTTTTTTTTTTTTGGGGGGGGGRGGGAGGTAACTGGTCGTCGGGCGCGCATTCGTGCGCCGCGCGGGTCCGGTCCGGTAGTCCGCCTCACGTGTGGAACCGCCCAGACAGCGTCTGCTTGCAAGTATGGTCAAAGCCCAAAAGTTCAAACTCATAAATGCCTAAGATCAACACATAGAGCTCTCCAGCAGTCAGCAGACAACAAGACAAAAAAATTCACAAATTTGAAATTTGAAATTTCAAATTTTCTGATGCCGTTCAGGGGGCTTTCGCACTTTATTTTTTTTACTCTTCAATTATACACCACCTTATGTGCGGCGAAAAATTGGAAAAACGAACTTAGTTTTTAACTCTCCTGGGGCGAGGTCCCATTAGCAGTCGGATAGGAGTGTGGCCGATCCAGTGTGACACTGAGTGACAGCGGGCTGACAGGTTCATTACGAATTTCTGGGCTGAGAAAACAGGAGAAAGGCAAAAGAAAAAAAAAGAAACAGCGACCTCCCACCAGAAATCATGGCAGAGTGCTTCCCAGCCATCAGATCACAAATGATCTGATGGTGGTGGTTGCAACAACAGTGAACAAAGTAACCGCCACATTTTCTGGAATAAACTCGACTTCTGTCAGCAGTGATCCTGACACCCTCCATATACTCCGTGATTAAAGGAGGGCTCCACCCAATGAGATAATTGCACAACAGCAAGTAAAATACAGAAAATCTTCTATCCAGTGGGCCTATGGCCGACCCGACCCTCTTTTGGGGTTGGCCACACCCCCAACCGATTGAAAAGATTCTGGCGGGAAGCTTTCTTTGCACGGGCATGCCCAGTGTTAAGGAGAGGAGGAGGGGAACAAAGATCTCCTTACTTTTTCGGGTAATATATGTAAAATATTGACCGTGGGATCACGAGTACTGCACGGCAGGATTTGGGTCACTCAACTGCCCCACAAACTCATTTCCATCCTATCCCGTTGCTAGTGGGATCTCGCCCTGATGATTTAAGTGTGGATATTTTTTGGTTTAATCCAGGGAATGGATTTCTTAATTTTCTCTTCCTCTCCCATGGCTGCTGGCGATCCAGACACCGGACGCCAGACAGTCCAGACTGGGTTGGGACATCAGGATCTGATCCACACCAGGGGGTGCCCTAAAAAAAATCTTCATTTTCGCTTTGATTTTTTTTTTCTTTCTCCAAATTGTCTTAAACCACTAGTACCTTTGTCGGTTCGGAAAATAGCGGGCCTCCGACCTTTCAGGAGGCCGAAACGAAACGACGGCCGCCGGTCAGATTTATCAACGGCAGCCGTTGTCGGGCCCGGCCTCCTAAGAGTTCGGGAGCTGGCAAAAAATTGTCGAAAGACTCGAAACCGGACGCCACGAAACAGGACCCGGATGACCCGCAGGCAAAAGTTGTTTTTGCAGCGCAATGCTGCAACACACATTCTTTTTCAGGATTTTTTCCCAGAATTATTTGATTGTTTTCATGGTTTCATTAAAGAAAGGACCATAGGAGGAAATTTCCCTTTGAGCTAATAGATGAAAATGCACAGGTGCCACGGTAAACACAGAGACCCTCCAAGCAAATATGACGAAGGAGGGTTAGCTGTGGTTTTAGAATCTGTTCCATTTCATATAGCTTACTGTTTATAAGCTCGAGCCATTCTATATATAGTATGAACTTGGCCAACCAAGAAGTACACCCCTGGGAAAAAGAGCAGGGCAGAGCCCATTCGGAACTGCATTTAGCAGTGAGACGTGCTATTCGACAGAGAAGGTTTAGTAATCTGTCATGATGAGGGGACTACCGTCTTCACTTTTTTTTTTTTTTTTTTTTTAAACAGAGCCTTATGGTTCCGGCTCCTTATCCATTCTGGGGAGCATCAGTCCGGTTCCTATTCCACCAGCAAGTCGGAAAAGATTTCAATGACTACTCACTCACGCTCCTCCCCCTTATGGTGTGGAGGCCCGAAGGACAACATTGATTACTTCCCATGGGAAGGATGTACCATCCTTCACCCCTGCCTAAGTTAGCCTATTCTACTGGGGTTCTGGTCTTACCATGTACTTGGTGCTAAAACCCTAAGCCCTAGCTCGATATTTCTTTGTTTGTAGTCTGACTCTGACAATCGTTTTCGTGTGATGTTCTGATGTGGTTTCTTGGCCGGATCTGAGTACTGGGTAATGTTTGGTGGGTCTGTTTGGATTCAGTAAGGGTATTCCAAGTAGGGGCGGTGTTGAGGTTTGGGGGG